GAATGAAAAAATCAGATTCTCAATATTGAGAAAGATGTTCCTGAATGTATCCTCGAGCCATAAATGTTGAGTTCAAGATCTTGCCCTTGAGAGTGGTCTGTCTTATTTGCATATCATTAAAATCCCACCTCACCCTAATTACATCCCACTTCCCCTTCTCCCATCCTTCATTGGCATAAATCAGAGACTGTACTTGGTGGCTGCAATTTCCAAATACTTGTCCCATCCATCATAGAACTGCTTCTTTAGTGCAGCATCCTGCATGGTCCTTGCCCACTATCCTCTTACATCATTTGGCTACACAACTTGGCAACCACCAGCCTCTCCACATCACCAATTCTACCCTCAGCCCAACTCAAATTCTACTTCAGTCGTTACTTTACCTTGCAACTCAGGGTCATCCATGACTTAATTCTTCTGCCAGGTTACTGCGCATAGAGGAACGTGTGCATCTCACAGGCTGCTTTTTTGCTCACATGGAGAGATGCAACTAATGACTCTGACCTTGCTTCCTTAGTGATCACTTATTTTGCCTCACTTGGAGGCTGCCCACCTCTGTCAACATTGTATTGCTTTTGTAATGCACATTCAGTGACATCAGGACTCACTTACAGGCTTACAGCTGCTCTCTGGTTCATATTGCTTTCTTGGTGAACAGGACCTTTAGTGCTCAGTTACAGGGGCTGCCAACCTCAATGGCTTGCTGTGCTCTGAGCACAGAGTGGGGCATGTAGCTATGATGGAGGGGAACACTGAACTGATGATTTATCAGTCAGTGAGAGGTTGGACATGTTGCTGTATGTTGATGTCAGAGACAGAATGTGCCATCAGATTACATTGCAAATGTATTGCAAGTGCTTCAAACATATGGAGACTCCTGAAAGTCAAGAGGGAGCAGTCCCTGGTGGGATACAGGAAGACTGTAGTCAGTCAGGTGGTACAGTCACAGTCAGCCAACAGGTTCACCTGAATTCTGTCCAGGATTTGGCCAGGGTCAGCCAGGCACTTGATCCAATCAGAGTCAAGGGATCCATTTCCATGCAAACCAGCCATGGTCAGTCTTGCAGGTAAAATGTAAGCTGTCTGAGGATCACAGATATGTTAGTTAGGATGCTGTGGAGACCATGTCTGACATTAGCTGGAGAGGGGTTGGGGGATGCAGATTTTTTTTTTATTATTCATTTGTGGGAACTGAGCATCACTGGTTGGCTGGCCAGCACTTATTGCCTGTCCCCAGCTGCCCTTGAACTGAATGGCTTGCTAGGCCATTTCAGAGGTCAGTTGAGAGTCAACCACATTGTTGTGGGTCTGGAGTCACATGTAGACCGGATCAGGTGAGGACTGCAGATTTCCTTCCCTGAAGGACATTAGTGAACCAAATGGGTTTTTTCTGACAATCGGCAATGCTTTCATGGTCATTAGTAGATTCTTAATTCCAGATTTTTTAAAATATTGAATACAAATTCCACCATCTACCTTGATGGGATTTGAACCCAGGTTCCCAGGACATTAACTGAGTTTCTGTATTAATAATTTAGATAATACCACTTGCCTTCCCTATAGACCATGTAGACCAGTTTTTCCTGCAATGAGACAACAGAAGCACTGAGTATGATGGAAGTGGATGGAAGAACAGATGGTGGGTTGCATGAGCAGAAGAGGTGGTGAGGTGTCTCCAATGAGTAGGAAGCACAGGGCAGAAAGGGATACTGTTTTGGGAAGGTGAGGTGATTGAGAGCTGTCGAATAGAGACAATGAATGCAGTACTACAGGAGCCAGTTTGCAGAACTAATAAGGCAAAAAACAGAAGGCTGTGTAAGAAAAGTCACTCCAAGCCATAATGGACTGGAAACAAGCCTCAGACAGTTTCATTTTTAAGGCTCAGTAACACTTGAGTGAATCTGTGATGTATCCAAACCACCCCTTGGCTCAGAACCAGCCAGTGCTGTCCCTGTAGGCCATGTGGAGGCTTTTAAAAAAACATTCCTTATTGACCTCACTGACACAGGGATGCCTTACGTGGTGGGATGGTTACAGTGTTATCAACTGAGGAGGAGATTTAAATTATTGGACCCTTACCCTTTGCTGAAACCTGAAGTCTTAATTTTGCAGATCAGCAGGAATTAGCATTAACTTCAACC